TGACTACTGCTGCAATACTCTGCTAGGGGTTAATCCCCAAACCCTAATAGGGTGCTTTGACTAAAACCTTTCCCACATTCTAAGCATCTGTAGGGCTTCACACCGCACTTGGCAAGGTTGCTGTTCTGATGAAGGCTCTTCCCAAAACTTGGGTTCTTGTTGGGTTTCTCCTTTAAATGGATTCTCCAGTGGTCACCCGGGCATTGTTTCTTTCTCTCTTCCATTGATGGTCCCGGAATGATTACTTCACAGACATCTCCCTCCTGACAGGAAATGGCAACATCACTCCTTTTCTCTAGCGGCATCCCCTCAGATCTGTTTGATCCATCCTGCTTCCATAGGTTTTCTTTGAGGACTTTGATAGGGTTGGTTTCTGAAGGCATCTCACAGGGATCCACCTTGTCTTTGTTCTTCATCTCCCCGGCTGGAATAAAAAGAGAAAGAGATTAAAACGGGGGAAGAAGCTGTGCCTCAGATACCCACCCTTATTTATTACTCTATTAATTTTTTTAAATTTTTTTTAATATAATCATCCATTTTCAGTTGAACAGTGTGTTGTCTGGGTACATATATCTTTGTTAGACAATAATCAAAATTACAACATCCTTCATGTGATATGTAAAATTATACCTGTGAAAATATAAAGCAACGGTAACGCCATTTTTAACCTCTGTTTTAACCTAAGTTAATTTATTGGAATGTTATGTAAGAGTTCTCTATTGTTTTGTATGAAGGTTACATATTTGGCAGGTTACACTGTCCAGTGTCATGTTAATGATGGAGATTACTAGAAATGGAAATGGGTAAATGGGACAAGGAAACAGATGCTATGCTACAATAACAGGGGTGTTGCATAGGGAGATACATAGCTTGGATAGATTGTGAACCCAGGATAGGGGCAGAGACTGTATATTTGAACCTGTATATAAACCCCAGCCTTCCTGGGAACCATGTTTTCTGCCCATGGGCAGAATTCCCCTTTTGCAAAAGCTTCATAAGAAAGCTCTTATATATTATTGTTCACATGTCTCCAGTATTCAGTTGTCTGAATTCCTGAATGCTTGATTTTTATCACACTTCATTGCATATTAATTCTGCATTATTTAACATAGTAATGTTCCACATATTAATTATACAACGTTAACATGATATTCAACATACTAGTCATAATATTTACATATCTCTTTTAACACATCTTCATTTTGTTTCTCTATTTCTAACTTCCATTTTTATTATTTAACCATTGATAAAATAGATCCCATACCATATAGCAGTGGTGGCTAACCTTTTTGGGCTCCTGTGCCAAAAATTGCTCGCGTGCCAGCACCCAGAAGGCAATGCACGCCCCATCCCACGTCTTCTATGCATGCGCGCGCAATTCCCCCCCGCCACCCCCTTACCTGCACTGTGCCTCACAGCTGATTTTCGGCTGGTTTGAGGCCTTTTTCTGCCTCCTAAATGCTTGGGGAAGGCTTCTGCAGGCTTCTACAAGCTTTGTAGGCCGAAATCTAGCCCCGTTTCGTCACTTCCTGTTTTTCCAAAAAAAACGGAAGTGATGAAACAGGGCTAGATTTTGGCCTACAAAGCTTGCAGAAGCCTTCCTCAAGCCTCAAACCAGTCGAAATCAGCTGTGAGGCGCGCACGTGCACAGTGAGGTAAGTTTGCTTGCAGCTCGCATGCCGGCACAAGTGGCTCTGCATGCCACCTGTGGCACGCATGCCATAGGTTTGCCATCATGGCCATATAGTATTCAGTTTGCTCTTTCTCCTTAATTGCCAGTGTTAATCTATTCGTTTCTGCACATTCTAATATTTTTCTAATCACACCCCCTTATTTGTTTTAGTGACATACGGAAGGCCATCTACATGTAAAATGCAAACAAACTACGATTACACAATAATGGTTTTCAGACGGTTACTAAACTTCAGGTTTAGCCTCAGATCTGAACCCTCAGCCTAGCTCAAAGCCCATCAGAAGGTCTCTGAGAAGATGCTCTTCCAGTGAATAGGAACATCTGCCCTTTAGACCAAGCAGCCTGCCCCACATGTGTTGAGTGAGTTTTGCCCCATTTTATATGGCCTTTCTTGCCCCAGTTGCTAAACGAATCATTGGAGGCGTTATGTTTGCAACATGATTGTTAAGTGAATCTGGCTTCCCCATCGACTTTGCTTGTCAGAAGGTGGCAAAAGCTGATCGCATGATCTCGGGACACAGCGACCGTCATAAATATGAATCAGTCGTCAAGCCTCTGAATTTTGATCCCGTGGTCACAGGGAGGCTGCGATGGTCGTAAGTGTGAAAAAAGTCATTACAACAGCATTGCAGGGAGTGTTGTGGCTTGTCGGCTGCTGGCCCCTCTAGCAGCCAAATCAAAGGAGAAGAAGGAGGCGTGGAAGTCAAGGGTCAGCATCAGGACAACCTGAGACCTCCGAGGGGGAAGAGGGAATGGAGCTGTCAGAGATAAAGACAGAGGAAGAGCCTGGGCTGTCCGTCAGCCCTCAGATGGAAAGTCAACAGCTCCCAGGTCTGGAGGCAGCTGATGAAGAAGAGGAGCAACAACCGAGTCCAGTGCCTGATGAATGCACTGGATTGCACACAAGGCAGAGGAGAGGAGAGCAGTGGAAATATATGGGCTGGTCCTTGGGCCAGAAGAGCCACAGCTGCTAGCGAAGAACCATCATAAGCTCGGGATAAAAGGCAGGGAGCAGAGATGAATAAATGTGGCATACAACTATTTATCTCAACTATTTATCTATCTATCTGCCTGGACTTGTTAGCCTGCGGTGAGAAACTGCTGCTGGAGCCCCTAATAAAGGAAACATTGCTTTAACTATAGAGGGTTTGGGGAGCTGGGTCATAACAGTGAGTTCAAACAGTCACTAAATGAACTGTTGTAAGTTGAGGAGTATCTGTACACCCTTCTTGCCCCAGAGCATCCTGAAGCTCTGTCAGATAGAATCGACTGCTGGCAACCAAGGTTAGCTCAGCCAAGGGGAATCACGGAAGCTTACAGAGGTTCCCCTTCTGATCCAATGGCCTGGCTTCCTTCTCACCGTCTTCCTGCTTAGTTTTGGCATACAGTTGCTTCTGCTCTGTTTCAGGGGGAGTCTGGCCGGTCTCGGAGGAATGCACAGAGCTCTCTTCGAGGTTGACCTGGAATTAGCAGAGGAACAGTTTTAGGATAGGACAACAGGGCTGGGAGGGGCCGACTGTGTCCTTTGTCACATGGATCATGCTCAAAGCCAAGTTGTAGATATTTATTCCCAGATGGGATTGGGTTTGTCTCCCACTGTTCATTTTTCATCTCTCTCTCTCTTTCTCCCCCCCCCATCTCTCTATTTATCTCTCTATCTACCTATCTATCCTATTCATATCTATCTACCTACCTATCTATCCATCCATCCATATCTATCTACCTATCTATCCATATCTATCTATCTATCTATCTATCCATCCATATCTATCTATCTATCTATCTATCTATCTATCATCTATCTATCTATCTATCTATCTATCTATCTATCTATCTATCTATCTATCTATCATCTATCTAGATATCTATCCATCCATATCTATCTATCCATCCATCCATCCATCCATCCATATATCCATCCATTATCTCTCTCTCTCTCCCTCCCTCCCTCCCTCTCTCTCTCTCTCTCATCTATTTAGCTATCCCTCTCATTCTTCTGAAGCCTATAAACATCTTTCTTTTGTGTAAGGATGCTGCTCTTTTGGCAGGTTTACTCTTAATGGATAAAATGGAGGTTAATGATAGATACTTTGAATTACAACTCCAATTAACCTTAGGCATTGGCTGCTCTGGGACAAGTGGGATCTAGTCCCAAACCTCTAGTAAACAGCTCAGTGGGGAAAGCTGAGAGAGGACATTTGGTAGCCGGCCATCTCTGGTAGATCAGCCAGTTGAAGCCAAAGCCAAGGAGAAAACAGGCACAAGACTAAAGGAAGGAAGAACTCAACAGATGCTGGATCAAGGCTTGGGTGGTTCTCCAGAATGCCTGGGGAAGCAGGAGCAGCTACAGCACCCTTTACTTGACATCAGGTTATCTGGTTATCAACCTCTCATCTACACAACTTCTTATATGTTTTGACTGGCCTCTTTTGACTTAGCCTGCACCAACTTTATTACTGCAACTCTCCATCCCAAAATGTAGTTCCAATGAAGACAGACAACTCAAGACCAGCGAGCCATCTTTCCATGAGTATCTCTAAGCTTCTTGGCCAATGTGAAGATGCTCCCAGCTCCCCAGACACGACAAACCCGCTGACGTGAACTCAAAAGATTCCTTTATTAGGAATGCCGGCAGCCCCGGCAAAAAGTTTCTCTCGCAAGCTAACAAGTCCGTCCGTCCAGAAGATGAATAGTTGTCTGCGACACCTATTCATCTCCGCCTGTTGCCATTTATCCCCAGAGCTTAGGGTGGGGCTTTGCTAGCAGCGGTGGCTCTTCCATCCCAAGGACCGTCCCATAGATTTCCACTGCTCTCCTCTCCTCTGCCTTCTGCGCAGCTGCGCGTCAGGCACTGGACCCAGCTGTTCCTCCTCTTCCTCGTCAGCCACCTCCAGACCTGGGGCCTTTTGACTCTCCATCTGAAGGCTGCCGGATGACAGTGGTGGTATTTTACTGATTTGGCCCAGTTTGGCCAAACCAGTAGCTCCAAGGATCATCTGTGAGCGAACTGATTCGCTCTGACGATCAGCTGCTGGGCCCTTCCACCCGCCCCGGATCTATTCTGACCTTTATTTCCTAGTTTTGAAGCTCAGCTGCTTCACGCGACACAGTGGATTGCCCCGCATCAGCAGTTGAAGACACAGGGAGAGTACAGGATTGCAGGAGAAGGTTAGTAGCAAACCATCGGCATGTGCACAAAACACGCCCACCAAGCCATATCCACAGAACCAAATAAGCAAGAAGAGTCCTTTTATTATCTCCAACTTGCCCCCAATGTCCTGGTTACCTTCGGCTGGAGAAAAACTCTCCCAGGAACAGCCTTTAACTGGAGAAAATTCAGTCTAAAACAAGGTACGTACAGACTGTAACTAAAAATCCAAACACCCCACTGCAGTAATGAACTTGACAGGGAAGGAGAAGGAATTGTCGACTTGAACGCACGGCAAAACACACAGTTGGGAAGATGCCAGGAACACAGATAAGCCTTGAGGATACCAATTAAATTCACGATTTGCTCCCAACAGCTTGCTGTGTGCAACTTCCCTTTTTAAACACTGTGTTCCCAGCTGCAACCAATGAAGGGAATCAGGGCCCTTTCCTCCCCCATAAGCCATGCAACTCACATTGCTCTCTTCTCTGTTCCTCCCTACGTGCCCTAGTATGAAGAGGGGGTGGGCCTGGGTCTTCCTCCAAATTCCCTCTCCCTTGCTCTACCTCTTCCCTGCTCTGCCCAGCCGGACTTTGCCATTCCCCAGTTTCTTCCACAGCCAATGAGCCACACTCCCACTCCCTGTCAGCTGTTCAGCCTCCCCCTCTGAATCAGATTCCGACAGGGGCATGACACACAGCATCTCACCTGCTTTCCACAGCACTCCTTGGCCTCTCGTTGATGCTGAAAAAACTCTTCGGCTAGGCCCACTGCTTGGGAGCAAGTCTCGGGGCTGCATTCCCAGATCCAACTCTGAATCTCCGTGGGCAGGATCGCCAAGAATTGCTCCAGGATCAACAGCTTCAGGATCTGCTCCTTAGAGTGTCTCTCCACTTTCAGCCACCCGTAACAAAGATCTTGGAGATGATTGTATGCCGCGGTAGGTCCCTCAGCCTCCTGGTAACAGAAATGCCGGAAGTGCTGACGATGTTTCTCCCTCTGCAGGGCATCGCCTTGCAAAATGGCTGCTTTCACTTTCCCGTAATCTATCCTATCCTTGGCCACCATTCCATCAAAGACCTGTTGGGTCTTTCCACAGAGAGCCGGCAAGAGCCTGGCTACCCATTCCTCCCTGGGCCACCGGCAAGCTTTGGCCACATCCTCAAAGGAGTCCAAGAATGCCTTGGCATTGTCCCATGGGGCGGGTTCCTCTGCCAAGGGCGCGGATCTCCAGCTGGAACCAGGGGACTCCATATTCTTCAGGAACACCTGCAACTGGGCTTCCCAGCATCCTGTCACACCCTCTCTTACTTCTTCTTTCCCCCAATGAGATGTCCTTTGGGGATGGTGTCCAATAAACCCAGAAGGCACTGACCCCAACTGTGGATCTCCTCCTTCCTCATCTACCTGGGGTTTGAGGGCAACAACCTTCTGGAGGCCACCAAGAACTTTTCTGACCTTTTCTGGGTCTTCTTCTTTGGGCCAGACTGGGAAGGGGTTCTCTTCCATTTTAATCCTGGGATGTAAGAATCTCCCAAAAATAAGTTCTCCGGAGTCACACTCTTCTGATGAACTCCTGTTTGGAAAGCAGAGGAAAACCGAACCTAAGTTAGAGTTCTACTTCCTGATAGGATCTACTACATATCCCATAATCCCCAAACAACTGGCAGGAGCTAAGGGGAGACAGAAGGAAGACAGAGAGAGAAAGAGAGAGAGAATAAGAGAAAGAGAATGAATGAGAGAGAGAAAGAATGAATGAGAGAGAGAATGGGAGAGAGAATGAAAGAATGAGAGAGAATGAAGGAAAGAGAGAGAAAATGAGAAAGAGAATGAATGAGAGAATGAGAGAGAGAATGAGAGAATGAGAGAGAGACTGAAGGAGAGAGAGAGAGTGAGAGAGAGAATGAGGGAGAGAGAGAATGAAGGAGAGAATGAATGAGAGAATGAATGAGAGAAAGAGAGAGAGAATGAGGGAGAGAAAGAGAGAGAATGAGAGAGAGAATGAGAGAGAGAAAGAGAGAGAGAGAATAAGAGAAAGTGAATGAATGAGAGAGAGAAAGAATGAATGAGAGAGAGAATGGGAGAGAGAATGAAAGAATGAGAGAGAATGAAGGAAAGAGAGAGAAAATGAGAAAGAGAATGAATGAGAGAATGAGAGAGAGAATGAGAGAATGAGAGAGAGACTGAAGGAGAGAGAGAGAGTGAGAGAGAGAATGAGGGAGAGAGAGAATGAAGGAGAGAATGAATGAGAGAAAGAGAGAGAGAAAGAGAGAGAATGAGGGAGAGAAAGAGAGAGAGAAAGAGAGAGAGAATGAGAGAGAGAGAATGAATGAGAGAGATCATCAGTTGATCTCTTAACAGGTGTAAAATAATAAGAGTATATTATGTAAAATAGGTGTAAAATAGTATATTATGTATGGCTAAACAAGGAAACCATTTTCTTTATAAATGCATCATTCTGTAATATATATTCACACAGAGGAATCTATTTATGGATAACTGAGACTATAGGTAATCCTTGACTCATAGCAGTTCGTTTAGTGACCAGTTGAAGTTACCACAGCACTGAAAAAAGCGACTCATCACCGTTGCCACATCCCCATGGTCACGTGATCAGAATCCAGATGCTTGACAACTGAGTCCTCTGTATATGACAGATGCAGTGTCCCGGGGTCACATGAGCCCCTTTTTAGAAACCTTCTGAGAAGCAAAGTCATTGGGGAAGCCAGATTCGTTTAATAACCGTATTGCTAACTTGTCAACGGCAGTGATTCACTTAACAACGGTGGCAAGAAAGGTCGTAAAATGGGGCAAAACTCACTTCACAATTTTCCTCACTTAGCAACAGAAATTTTGGACTCAATGGTGGTCATTAAGTCGAGGATTATCCGTAGGGGTTTTGTTTTTTTTAATTCAGGCGGAACTGTGGTGGGGTTTTCCCTACATTAACCCCAACACACCCAATCCCATCTCGGGTTACTTTGGCAAAGTGAGTAATGTCAGCAGCCTGTACATTTAATTTCTCTTTGATCCCCACAAGGTCACAATGATTATTACAATAGATCTCTCTGAATAATCCTGAACAGAATATGCCAAGGCATGATGTGTCATAACAGAAACCTGACACAGCAATATGCACTAAGAACTCTGCCAGCCCTTTCCAGAATAAGATTTATTATTTATTTGCTTCTCTCTCTCTCATCTCTTTCTGTATCTCTTCTTTTCTCTCTCTCATCTTTCTCTCTCTCTGTGTGTATCTCTCCCTTTCTCTCTCTCTCATTTGTCTCTGTATCTCTCTCTCATCTCTCTCTCTCATTTCTCTCTGTATCTCTCCCTCATCTCTCTCTCTCATTTCTCTCTGTATCTCTCCCTCATCTCTCTCTCTCTCTCATTTCTCTCTGTATCTCTCCCTCATCTCTCTCTCTCA